ATACGTATTAATTAATTATCTATAACTTTGACCTAGAGCTATTTTTTGAAGATCCTTGAATACTCTCTTAATTCCAATCTTTCATGATAGATACTAATCATAAGATGTGAATATGATAAAAAATATGAAACATAGCCAGGATTCTTCTGAAAAAATTTAAAACTGTTTGAAGACATTTTTTTATGTCTAAATCACTTAAATTTTAAGATACATCAAAATAGTATTTTTAGAGAAGAAGATGTATATCATGTCTTTTAACCTTATCATCATAGAAAAGTGAATACATAAACGATTCATTATTTTCAAGAATGTCGTGTGTTTTTTCAATATAACTGAAACCAATTCAGCTTCAATTTTTCTTGAAAATTTATATTCTAACTCTTCATTCATACTAATTCAAAGATAAAAATGATAATAACTACATAATTCCATTGAAAATTCGATATGTATGATTAATTTTAATAAAAAATAATTTTGTGACAACATGTCATTGATACACTAAACATTCCAATAGATCAACACATTTACCTTATTCATATTTGCATTATTCTAGAATTACAAGAATTTGATCTATTTCAGGAAATTACGTGGATTCATGAAGGCCATGCACAAACTGGTGACACGAAAAAATGCAACCCGTCTGGAAAATGAGGAGAATTTTACTTGATGGGACCCATCAGAATGCTGAATGCTTGATGGGACCCAATATAATCCATTTTACTCGATAGATCCCTCCGACGGTTATGCTTTGTTTCCACTTCAATGAAAAAAAGAAATTGTTCCCTAAGTTAAGTTAGTTAGATTTACCATGGCTCCCATCTTCATCATGCAAGAGCTCAATTTCTCAGGTCCCAAAATGATATTACAGTTAAAATGAATGGGCGTAATTACTTACTCCTTACTTTTTTACTTTTTTTAATTCTTCGCCGAAGTGAGGTAAGTTGCCTATTGTGGTCCATGAAGTGTATGCGGGGAGAAGTCACTTTTCAACAAAGAGCCGCAATGTTTTTACTAACCCGGATTCGTTACAAGCAATTACAAGAACTCGTAGTAGAACATCATTGACCATGGATGGACTGAACTGCCATACGTATAAGGTGAAATACGTGAGTTTAGAAAAAGGTGGGCATGCATGGGTGTGAGAGAAGTGCATGTATAAAGGCTTTCGTTGTGGAATTTTGACATGTCAGGATTTAGAAGAGGTTAGAATCCTATTGTGCAATGGACAAGCATATGTTCAGACCATTATGCAAATATAAAACTCCTTTCGTTTTGTCCGTATTCATTTCGTATTCTTCGTGCTACAACCTGATTACATGCTTGTGCTGGCCGTGATCTTTGCACATTTTTAATCGCTAGCATGCTCAGAACTGTCACGTGTATTTTTGTTAGTTTCTTAGCAGGAAAGCTCTTGCAATTCGACTGCTTGTGGACGTTCAGTTACAAATACTCTTAACGTAGAGCACAAATGTCGTTACCACAATTGTTAATAGTCTTACGAGGTCTTGAAAGATCTGAGTCAATTATAGGCTCATGCTCGAACAAAGAAGCCCGTCATTTCCTAGGCGCAGGAAGTCGATCATTGTGGCTCACGTCACATCGTCCATGATCATCACCAGAATCTCAATCGGAAGATGAATTCAGCTGTGTGTCGGAGAAGAATGCTGGCGTGGTAACAACGGCAGGAGATAGGAAATGCACAATTGCAACAACCAAACCTACCATGAAGGAAAAAAACACAGATAACTATGGTACTCTTCTGAATGACAAAAAATCTGATGGCAAACCTGCATTTTCAGTGAATTTGGAAAGGAAATCTACGACTAATGATGCTGAGTGTAAAAAAAAGGTATCGGAAAAAAAATAGATATATACATTGATAGCAAAGATGTGAAATTTCCTTATTGATAATGAAACCTTAACAATGAATGATTGCCCGGGATAAAAGAGCGGATAACATTTGGAACGGAATATTAATGTTTAAGATAGTCTAGGGTGGAGTAAGAAACCTTGACGATGAATAACTTTAACGTGATCCATCTCAATAACATCTCTTCTTGAATATGAAGATAGAAACACTTCAATACTGAAATACTCGTCATTTCCAAAAATGTGATCGAAAAATATTTCAACTGTTTTTATTGACCTGTGTTCAACATGAATGATTTGTTGATTATTAACACGTATGGTGAGAACTCATGAACATCGCAAAACGCCTTTCTGGAGAGATCCTTGTCCACATGACACTCCACACTACACACAGAGAGTTCTGCAATCACTAAACAACACAAGCGCAATGAGACACTAAACATCTAGCTTACAAAAAGTGTATTATCATATAGATTGTATTATTACAGTCGATATGATAATACACTTTGTAATCTAGATGGATTCACTTATAGTGCATGAAATCAAATTTTGAAGGGTGGTGATTAATAACGGCGAGCTGAGTCTTTAGTGTCTGTGTAGGATGAAGATACTACTAAACAAGTGCACTGTTTGGTAGTATCTTACACTGCTAAATTACTTGAGCTTTCACGTAAATTAAATGTGGCTAGCTTTTCAGTTAACATAAAAAGTCGTAAAGGGCTAGCAAATAACCTCACAATTCTTATGGATTATCCTCAAACTCAGTAATAAAAGAAAGCTAGTCAAGAAAGACACTAGCTCAAACCATAGCTATTGTTTTGATGTGACGGCGGCGAATGACAATATCATCTAAGGGGAGCTGGAGCCAGAATTATTCTTTCGTAGATGCCCTTGTCTCACAGCATGGTCTTGAGTCTTATGAACGAATTCATATAGTTGAGACAACATGTGAGTTTCTCTTCGGGGCGTAGTGTAAAGAAGAATTGTAATGGGGTTCGCTCATGGCGGCTGGAAGGTAACAAAACTTGTAAACGTGATTACTAATCGCTTGTCATCAGTCGCAGAGGGGCCAAACCAAAAACACTTGAACCATGTTGTAAAATAGAAACTCGATTTAGTTACTGAAAAAAGCGCCACATATAATCACAGCATCTGTATTGGCTCGTAGATTACAAACCAAGTACACAACAGTACTGGGTCTAGAATGACCGGACTAGATGACGTCTTTCTTTTAAGCATATAACACAACATATAATTAGTAAATCTAATCTAATCGCTGTCATGAATGTGTTTTATTTACTAATCTGTCTCACAACAAGGTTACTCAAAAAAACGTGAAGATGCTGGACTTGCCAAATGTTTGTGGGAAGTGTACTAACCAGGACAACGCTTGGACTGCTGACTCGTATTTACTTCATGGACTAGTATTCACAGTGACTGATATGCAAAAATAGTTGGCGGTGCGCCACCAGTTTGAAACCGGAACTTGATGATGATAGCCACAATCTCGACTTGTCCATGAACCGCATTTTCCAGACAGTTTGCCAGGCACGGGGATCCCGAAGGTTTTATGATATCATCCATCACATACTTCACAAAGTCATAGGCTTGCAAGACTATGTGGCAATGTCCCAAAATGTGTGATGTGAGAGAGCGTAAGAACATGTAAGAAGTGAAGCGCACTGCAACTTGAGATCAATCCCATCTGAATTAGCTTCCTTCCTCATAAAATTCGACACTTTCTAAATCACTGTAACTCCTGAAAACATATGAAAAGAAAAGAAAGCAGACATATTGTTTTGATTATTTCATAAAATTCTTTCATCAACCCAAATTAGAGTAAATTTTAAACAACAGATGAAGCGCTACAAGGGTAGCTAGATGCAGTCACGTGTCTAAGAAGAGATTCAGAGTCTTATTTCTTGATCTTCTTTCTCACAAACAATCTAAATATGCAGCAGCTGCTCTCAAATCACAGACCGAACCTTTGACCCAAGAGGTCTGCGCGGCCCGACTTGTATTTTCAAGAGACTGCCTCTGCAATGCCCAGCGCGTGTTTCAAAGGCCAGGTTCGAAAAGTCCATGCCTGCACATCTTTAACACTGCATGACATCAGAGCATACAGACATTTGAGACACAATTATTTTACACCGCAGTGAAGCTGTGGGAATTGCTCCCTCCACCTAACTTGATTAAGGTTGATGTGGAGTAATTGGAAGACAGATTTCTGGCCTATTCAGAGATGTATAATTTCCTATGGTATTGAATAGATTAGTGATACACTTTTCCGTTCATCGCAATGACCAATTACCATAATAGTTCTTGTCTCTGATCTCGAAATCTACTTACATCTGCGTTAACTATATTTGTGTTCTATAGTGAAGAGTCTCTGTAACTGAACGTCCGTGCGCAGTCCAATAGCAAGAGATTTTGTGTTACCAAACTACCATATTTGTACATGTGACAGTTCTCACAGTGCTAGCGATTTAAAATGTGCTGAGATCACGGCCAGCACAAGCATGTTATCAGATTGTAGCGCGATGAATACGGAGCAAAAAACTCTCATCAACAACTTTACAAATGGTGGGCAATTCTGGATTAGCACACGCGAGCTTCAACATCATAGGAGAGAGATTTGAGCACAAATTCTTTTCACAAGATGCATTCGAACTGGATTCAGGCCACCTAAGGAATCTTGTTAAATCTTCCGGTCATACAAAAAAGCGCCAGGAGTAGATTCACATGAGCTACGAATTATTGAGCTTCACAGATCGGATATTGTGCATGAATTCTAGGAAAAGCATTCTCTTTAGACTCTATTGCTCTCTGGTTTAAACACGGACACTACTTGAAAATGATAACACATCTTAATTTTCAGTTTCGGTCCATCATACATTTGTTGGACCTTCATCGTGGGACAAGAGAATCAGTCAGGAGTTTGTGTGGAAGTTCAACGTGACCACCCTCACATGTCAAGGGGAGGGTTTTCATCACATGAGACTTGCAACAAGACAAAATGATCGCTCTACCCTCAAAAACTCATCTTGATAGTTAAGCGGAACACTGATCTTCTTCAAAAACAATAACTGTGCGATTGACATGATGACAAAGATTATAGAAGATTTCTTCTTGTGAAAACTGCAAGGAACAATTTGCAGAGTTGTATATTGCATATGGGTCTAAACATATGCTTGTCAATTGCATAGTGGCATTCTAACCTCTTCTAAATCCTAACATGTCAAAATTCCACAACGCAGGCCTTTATTCATGCACTCCTCGCACACCCATGCATGCCCACCTTTTTTTAAACTCACGTACTTCACCTGATACAACTTGAAGATTTTGGAATAGCAATTTTCAAGCTCAGGCGCAAGAATTTGCTGAATCCTCAACCATGCTTCTTGCAGCTCCTTGCTATCCCCACCTGTTAGAACTGCCCTGCGATCTTCACTGCTAATACCATCCAGTTTAACAATATCCGATTCCAAATCTGCCCAGGCCGGAATCGCTTCGCCCAACCCGCAGAACTTAGTCAGTGCAGCCTTTGCACCATAATATATTACTTTGTATGAAATTTCAATAGTTCTCCGAATCCACTCTCTCTTCTCCAAATCCAATCGTAACTTCAACCCTTCTTGATCTTTGACAGTGTGAAACCCAGTCATCGACTCACACATCAAGTGAAGTCGAACAATTTTCCCGACATGCAGACCTGCACTCAACCTATGGAAATGTCCCACATCATCCGTAACGTAAGGTCGTTTGGGCGTTTTCCCCTGCTGAAACACTTGCGAATAGCCAATGCTCCTGTCCACCTTAGACATGAAGACACTCAACTTTGACTGCAGTTCTTGGTGCACAGAGAGTATGTGTTCCATTTTCCTGTCCACTCTTTGCATAGCATCATGCAAATCATCAACCTTTCTATGCAAACCCTGAACCTCTCCTTTTAGTTGCTCAATCCCAAACAAAATTAGTCGAGTCGAACGATTCTCCACACTTGTGCTGGATCTACTCAAGAACCTGGATGAGAGTGTTTTGAGGTCTTTCATTTGGGGGGCATCGGAGCCGCTAACCATCTTTTCAGCTTCAGGATAACATTGAGCCAAACCATTATCCACGCTAATTATAGCTTCCTCCAATGACTCCAATTGTTGAATTCGATTCTGGTGAATCTTATTCACAACTTCTTCCACATCGCTCTCCCACAACAAATCCCTTGCTAGTTCAGATATTCGGCCGGTGTCTTTTCCAATCGGAGGCCAACAGTGCTCAAAGTGAAACAACTCTGCCTTCTCCGTCAAGTACGACTTTTCCAACGGCATTTCCTCAAGTTTGCCATTGATGCTACGAATGAAGTCCGATTTCAGGGTCTCGATCAGAATGACTTTTCTAAGACGACTTGGAATCAGCCTCTCCACGCAAAAAGTCTGGATCACACCGAGCACTAACGCCACCCCTGGACAGCCTTTTGATGATGCGCAAAATGATATCAACTCTTGGACGATATGCTTCCTCACATATGTAATAGCTGCCTCCTTTGACTTCTGACTCGAGCATAACATCAGAACATCTACGTATTTGTGGGACTTTTCACTCTGAATGTGCTCGATATATATTTGATGCCCGTCAAGGAAAAGTCGCAGATAATGTCGAGAGCAGATAACATTCTCCTCAAAACCACCCATCTCCTCGGATATCAACTTGCGTCTCATGAACATCTACAATCATAGAAATTTGGTAAATCTCTAGTGAGACATTCAAATAATTTGTCACAATTAATGAAAAGAAAACATTTGCTTCATCATACGCTAATTACAATTAGAACTTGGCACATACAATGTTTTCACTGAGTTTATGAATTCATGATTGAACCTCACCTGGAAGCGTGGAAAAAAAGCAGCAGTCAGGGACATTGTTATTTCATCTTGGCACTGAATCCGAATGCCGACAAACTGTGAAGTCTCACTCCTATTATCCCAAAACATTGAGTCCACGTGTGCCCCTTCTTCATGCTTCTGTTCTTCCTTGCTTGCATGCTCCGGGATGAAGGAAGGAATGAAATACTGAGAAGTATCTTTGAGCTTGAAACACAAATCTAAATTGACAAGTATGTTTTCAAGCTCCTCTCTATCCACACCTCTCTGTCCATGTGATTGGTTTCCCAGAAACTTTTCTATCAACCGAACAAAGACACTCTCACTCACAAATCCGTCCTTGCTTGCGTATGAGCTCAGTCTATAAGAAGACTCTGGCTCTTGAGCTTGAAAGTTTTGACCCAAAGCTATTAGCTCACCCAAGAAGGTATTAGTGAGCCAGTTGGGATCGACAATGATGTAATCAAGGTTGGGGATGTAAATGATGGATCCAACATCATTCAAATAGGATATGATAGATTGCATTATCCTTGAATGTTCAACAGAGTGAGCAGAAGAAGATGGAATAAATTTTTTCAAATCGGAAACACAAAAATCATAAAACTTTTTGGATAGCCACAAAGGAAAACTTTTGTTCTTCTTGGTGTTTGTAACCAAGAGAGAGGTGAGTTGTAAACACAATTTGGGAACCTGTGGGGATTTCTCACTCAACAACTTGTGAAAATTCTCAAAAATGTGTCTGTTAAGAGAGCTAACTTGCTTCTTCTTCCTAGCATCCACATGAAAACACTCTTGAATAGGGCGGAGATCCACATAATTTGCGAATCTTTGGGTGAGTTTTTCAACTATTGACTGAGCCCAACTCACAGAGCTATATATGGCTTTGTCCTTGTGTGAAATGACAACAAAAACTTGGGGAAGGTCACGTCCAGTGACCCTAATGCTAGATGTGAAGAAACTCAACCAATCCTCCAACTCAGTTTCAAAACAAGCGTCTGGTTTCTTTGAAGATTTTTCCTCACAGAAGGGGCTATACACAAAAAGAAAAACACAGAAATTGTTGGTTTGAGGGAAAAGTACAGTTTGAAGGGTACGAAAAATCCATTGTCCTGCAAGATCCCAAACTGAGATTTGCATTTCGTCATTTTTTGGCAAAAACTCCACTTCAATCCCTTTGGTCCTCCACAATACCTCCCATCTATTGAACAGATTGCTTCTGTGTAGCCAGCTATGATTTATCCTCATCAAAGTTTTACGCAATTGAGTTTTTCCTGGACGTCAAATCACAAAATACAGAATTTGTTATTAATGATATCTTCACAAATGCTTTGAATTAATATTCTTGAGATACAATATGACATGATATTATTTTAATATGTGAAAATAAATTCGACTGAAAAAATTATAAATCACCAAAATGATTGAAGTTACATAATTAGTGATTTACAGATTTGATTTTTTTTTTCTTTCTGTTACTATTTGTATAAACGCATCATTATATATAGATCAAAATAACATTTGTAGTGCCAATCTTAGTTTTAGAAAAGTTAAACCATAGATTGCTAGTTGGCCTACATTCAGGAAAAAACTGAGAATTTACAGTTCATCTTACCTGCTCGAGGAGAGCCGCATAAGAAGAGTCGGCCAGCGTTTGCATCTCCGAATGTTAAGTTGGCTTCTCGGAACACGGACATGTAGATGGCCCGCTCCTTGTTCTGCTGCAGGGCGTCTTGAATCAGCGCCGCCTTTCCGTCCGTTGCCCACGATGTTCGTGAGACGTCGATTTCCTGGAGAGCCAAGTTCACCTGCAGGACCCCCATCACGTCCCTGAACGCCTCCTCGTCGAGTTCGGAGTCAGACAAATCCAAGTGAGTGAGGTGGTTCCCTCGCATGCACCGAAGCAGCTCCTCCCATACTCCCTTCGAAAGATCTTCACTTCGAACAGATAATTCCAATCTCTTCTTGACTGAGGTTTCTCCAGTTTTCCCATTCATCGGGAGGATACTGAAAGTGAAGATTTTTCCACCATGCCTCAACACACTCAAAGATTTTAGAGATTGGATTTCACCGCGCAGCACCCTCCCTAACAGGTTTAATGATAACATCACTTCATCTTCACTCCGTGCTTGGAGGTCAAGCTCCAGTGTGGGGTCCTTGATGAGAGCCGAGTTCACTTGCAGTACTCCCATCACGTCCCTGAACGCCTCCTGGTCGAGTCTGGAGTGACACAAATCCAAGTGAGTGAGGTGGTTCCCTCGCATGCACCGAAGCAGCTCCTCCCATACTCCCTTTGAAAGATATTCGCTTCGAACAGATAATTCTAGTCTATTCTGGACTGAGGTTTCTCCAGTTTTCCCATTCATCGGGAGGATACTGAAAGTGAAGATTTTTCCACCCTTCCTCAACACACTCAGAGATTTTAAAGATTTGATTTCACCGCGCAGCACCCTCCCTAATAGGTTTAATGATAACATCAGATCATCTTTCACTCCCTGATGGAGTACAAGCTCCAGTGTGGGGTCGTTGACTTCGGAGCTAGCAGAACGAGCAAGAGCTTCTATTGACTTCCAGTCATCATTCCCCAATCGAAACCAAACAAGTATAGTTGTCGCTATAGCATTGTCACGTATGACTTCGCCGAGCTGGTGCCATTCCTCAGGACTCATCTGCAAGTCGGACAACTCCACTTTCTTCAATGATCGGTTGGAAATAAGAATTTCCCTTAAACAGTCTCCTACTCCCTTTATAGACGATAGCCGAAGACGTTCAATGGATCGGTTGCGATTGTCTCCTACTCCCTTTATAGACGATAGCCGAAGACGTTCAATGGATCGGTTGCGATTGTCTCCGGCCAATGCTTTCAGCAACAAGGGCCCTCCCCACTTCACCTGGCCTCTCAGGACCAATACCTTCAACGACGAGCTCTGGATCAACGCCTGGGACAGGATTCCAACGTTCTCGTCCTCCATGTCCTCCCGAAAGTCCTCTAATTCCAACGTTTCTAATAGAGGAGCACTGTTGATCATCTCAGCCACATGCTTCACCGCACTCTCGTCCTCCCACGCCCTATGTAATTCTAAAGACTGGAGTTTAGAATCGGAATGTCCTCGCAGTCCTGAGGCGAGATTCGACCAACATCTGGCACTCAATCTGCAATTCCACAGTTCTAATGTTGATACGCTAGAGGAGTTCAGAATTCTCCCCAGCTCTAAGCACAAGGTCTCCACTTCCGCATCTGAACTCCATTTCAAATCATAAAGGGTTATTTCATTTAGAACGGTGCTTGACCTGAAACCTCTGAAAACGATCTCCCACTCGCTTGCCGTCAACCTCGATACATCTCCCCCGCAAAGATAATACACACTCAGACTCTCAAAGGTGTTGCAGTTGCCGATTGCCTCCAGCACTCGAAGGCGCACTTGGCTTCGCCACCCTGTGATTGTCGAAAGTGATGCACGCTCCGGAAAGAACTCCAGAAATTCTGGCCCGCTTAAACGGGGAAGCTGCGTTAAAGGCTCGCCTTGTCCTTCCAGACGCTGTAGAAGGTCCTGGATGGCGGAGGGAAGCTCCGGTTCCTCGTGTGCGGAGTCCATTTCACAAGTCGTGTCGCAAGTGCAGCAGCGTGACTGACGATGGACGCACCTGCCCCTTCCTTTCTCTTCTCCTCTCTCCTTCAACGCGTACAGGAGGCCCTCTCTTCAATCCGAATGTCCAGCTCTCCCGAAGAAAACTGATATTACCTTCGTATTGTCACAATTCGTGTGCATAAGTGCTGGGCATGAAACTTCTTGCACTTTGCCTTCGTAACGACACAAATATCACTCCAAGATCTGCCGATACGTGGATCATGAGCAATCAACACGAACTCAGGGAGATTCTGCAAAGTGGAAGCAGTAGTATGTTCGAGCTCGGGACAAGCGATGGGAATCAAAATTGACACAGTAGACTAGGATTCTATTACCAAGCTTAATCATAGACCGTGTGGCAAAAAAGTCTTCACGTCTATCAGGGTTCGATGTGCACTAGTGATCGAAGTGAGTGGACAATATGATAGTTCTGCAGGAGAATCTGAAATCAAGTTCTTAGCAAAGATGGCGCGAAGCGAAAGCAAAATGTCATGGAATGCATGAAATTGCAGATTTCTCAGATGTGACGAACTCTGAGTTGTGGAAAAACTGGATGTACACTCGTACTGGGAGACTGCGATTCTAGCTGCATCAAGACCAACGGGAAGACAGACACTACGATGGCTAGCGTGGGGAAAAAGCATGCCTCATCTTCAATCAGATCTTCTCATTGAATCGTGTGAGCGATCACGGCAATGACAACATTTGAAAACAAAAATCGTGTTCTTTCATACTCTGTGATTGGAACATGGTGTTACAAGATCAGAGTAGATCTTGACTTTGTTGTGCAAGCGGAGAGGAAACGTGGGTGAATGCGTCAGTGTGATGATACTCTCGATGACGTCACATTAACAATTTCCATTAGAACTTTCGTCTTTATTAATTCATTTATCTGGCATGTTCCATCTGTTGGAGCAAGTGGACCTATTTTGACAGCTGAGTGGCACATGCGTAGTCAGCTGTAATTAGCATGTTACGATTTTTCTTACTTTTGACCCAGAACAGTTGTGCACATTATTGTAAATAACTTCTAGGTTCAGAAAAGACTGAGAAGCCTTTTGGGATTTTACTAACTATGATATCGAACAACTGTATACAGAGGATACCAGTACTCGAGGTTATCAACTGCTGCTATGATTGTTCTTCTACCCCAGCTGTCAAGTATGTGAATGCATGCACAGTTTGGAGGTCTTTGTATTTTTTTGGTGAGTTTGCAAAGCCAAAATGAATGATCGTGAATACAGAGATCGCATGATGAATTCGTGCTGCTAAGATGACAGCCTGGTCTTTACGCTTTAAGCATGGCCTTCACGATCTCAACGTAATCCTCCTGCAATGGATTCAATTTTCTAATTGTAAAACAATGGAAATATGAATGAGCTAAATATGTTGATTATGTGAATGAATGATATGTTGCCAAATAATACTTCTTTGGATAGTTAATCATACATTTTAATATTTTTTTGCATTTAAATTATATGATTGTAATGAGAATAATTTTTTAATTAATCTAAATAAAATAGAAAAATATAAATTTTCAAATAAATATTAGAGAATTTATATTTTTGATTTGTTTTACACATGAAAATTTTGGATTTTGGGATTTAAGTGAGATTGAGAGCATGTTTCAGTATAAATCTGAATAGTAAATTTCTGATTGCATTGCAGATAGTTTGATTAAGAGACAAAATAGTCTTTCGATTCAAATTATTGAGTCAGAAATTTGAAGTTGCATAGTGTGAAGGATTTTTTTTTTAAAAACAAATCAATAAAGATGCTTGCAATTAGTATATCATTTATATATTCAAATTTTCTATGATAGCTTAAATTTCATCAAACACATTCTGTGCACTAAACGTTTTGTGCTTAAGTATTTTGATCTATAATAGATTAAAATGTTTAAAAGAAAATTGAAAATTTGAACAATTCTTGAAAAGAAATTTAGCTATGTTTTAATTTTTATTTCATATTTGAATATTGTATTTAGTATACATTATGAAAAATTTGGATTAGGATAATATCTATGGACATAAAAAATTAATTCTCAATCAAAGTTATATATAAATAATCAATACGTATTTTTTTAAAAAATACTTCTGGATCTAAACTACATGGTAATTAATTTTTTATTTGAAATTCATTTCCAAAGAAAAATTATGATGTTTCAGAACTCAAATGATACAAATATTTAAAGTGAAATTGATATTTTTTGTTTTAATTATTTGTTGTTTTTAAACATTGAGAGCAATCTCTCAAAAGAAATTTCAGATGATTTAAATTTAATTATAAAGTAATTATTGTTACTGGTGATTACGTCAAAAAATTAACGTTAGGTTATTTGTTTAGGGTTATTTCACGTTATTTATGTGATTAAAAGCACATTCATAAATATCCTGCTTGATTTTGTCCTCGTTGAAAATTTTTTTAGATGTTTTTCTTTCAAGTGTTCCATTAACTGGTGATTTATTTCACAACACTACATAAAGTCATAATGAATGTACATGCAAACAGAAATCACCAGCTCAATTGATGGCAGGCTGTTCACCAGTTCAAACCTCGCCGCATCACCAATCTCGCCACCAGAAACAGGTATGCTGCCGTTTCTGCAGACTTGCACGACGTTGCCAGCAAAGCAGATTTCGAACAAATTTCAAGCATGAAGAATCAAATAAATCACGAACTAAATCGTGTGCACAACAATGTGCTCAAAATCATGGCATTCAGGAGCTGTGGCTGGGCGCCCACGACTGCTTGATTACTCGATGTACAGGGACTGATCCCTCTCAGTTGTCAAAGGCCATAGCGTGACTTGATATCGCGCTTCATGTCCTTGAGCCTACGCTGGGCTGCTTTTACATTTTAAATTGTCTTCTGTAATGTCACCAACGTTGTTCTGCACTAGCCGTAACATTTCTCTCGATGTCGCTCTGTTTCTTGTAGTTTCTGCTTAAGGTCCTTCATATCCGCAGGATACGGTGTATGTGGAAGCCACGAGTAGTGGCCATGGTGGTGCGAAGGCCGCCGCATTCCTCAAGGAACGTGTTTATCAGACCATGAAAGGTGAATGCAGGTCAATACAGCACACAGTAATTGCGCCAATATATAATGTATTTCTTGCTGACGAACTCCATCTGTTGATGTACTTCAGGTTACAGTCAACGATGAGTTCCTGACATGAGACTGACAAAAAAGTAAGGCTGAGAATTATCAAAGTCTGCTCATATTCTCAGAAAGCAATTGATAGTCGCCCAATGTGGCAGATGGATCACATGATCTTTGTCTAACCTCTACATTGTTGAAATCGTACCGATGGCCCCTATAACCACTTCCACAAAGTTGAGGAGTTAGGTTCATAATTTAATTAAATGTCATATTTCTAACGTCACCTTTTAAGGTTAACATGGAATAAGAGTTTGTGCAAAAATTTCTTAATCTTTATAATCAGACAGCTACTCTTTTTCTTGAGTTCAGCCCTTGCTTCAGATATCTGAAATGTGATTTCAAATCAATTTTCTTCATCTCCATCTATAATTTTTAAATTGTTCATGAAATCACATGATAATGTATCAACTTAATCGAGGAAAGTGTAATAACCCACCAAAGGCTAAAACTGCAGTATGGTGGTAAAAAGATCGAACCCACAGGGACAGAGGCAACACACAGAGTAAAAGTGTCACGTTTAACAGACTTTTGTAGAGTTTGAATTCTAGGCGACTGTCACTCCCAGAAATACTGCAGTGCTCGACTCGGAGGCTCGACTCGGAGGAGGATCTCAACTCGGAGGATGCTCGGAGGATGCACGGTACAGCGTGGTCACTCAACACACACACACACACACACACCTGAAACTGGCAAAAAGCACAACTCGGAGGTCGGTCAGGACCTCCGCTTCGGATTTCAGGAGGAAAGTGTCTCACAAGTTCACTCAGAGGTTCTGCAGGTAGTGCCTCCCACTCCGGCTTTTACTGCCCTTCCGCCAGGAACTAGCGGGGGTACCCGGACTGGACTTCCCACTTCGGAACGAAGCCTCTACATACGCCGTGGACGTCACCCTCGACTATCACACCAAACGCAGGGAGTGCAGACCCGACTGAGAACTTACTAAAAACACGATCCAGTAACACACACACAACCTGAATTACAAACCAAGGTTTACACGAAGTAATGAAACTTCACATTGGCATTCAGGGGAAACTTCCCATAGGAGTACAATCAGGATATGTCACTCGAAGGAGTAAGGGGGAACTGTTCAAGTATCTAACTCGCAGCAGGCTCTGAGCATCAGAAATCACCCGCAGGTGCAGATCCGCACTACTCAAGTCTCTAACCGGGTGCTAGCTCTGAACATTCAGCCGAAGGCCTTCAACTACAACACACGGTAACTTCGCTATGCTGCAGCTTCTCTACGTGGTGCCAGGACCAAAATGCACAAACACGCCAAGAAAGTGAGTTCCTGATCTGCACTTCCGAAACTGGAAGAGTCCCAAGGCAAAACGCCTTGATCTACTTTATACTCTCAAAAGATCCTAACTAGCACTACGCTATCCTATCTACCACTCGTAGTATCTGCGCGAAACCAAACTACTCTACTGCACTCAGCAGATCCGGTGCTGCGCCTCCTGCGCGCCGGACTGCTCCGCTTACTATCTCTACCTTGCCAGTCTTCCGACCGGCTGCGTAACCCCAGGCGTCGGAGCGCTGTGGTGACTTCCGACTGCAAGTGCGCCATAGTGTCGCGCGCACCCGACAAGAAGGTTTCTAATTTTCTCGCCACTCGCCGCCGACTCCGACTGTCACCTTCCGTCAATGCCGCCGCCCGAAGCTCGAACTCCCTGAGTGTGATCCTCTCTTGAGCTGCCACCTCCCAATGGGTGTATCCTTTTAGACAACGAGTCACCTGTGCCGCCAACTCTCCTCGCGCCCTACAGCTGCTCTCCACCTCGGCCAGCTGCATTTCTAATCCCGCACGTTGTGCCCTCAAATCCGAGCACTCGGATTGCAAGTTGCACAACAACTCCTCATCCTCCTTGCGGGCTCTTTGACTTTCTTCTAAGGCGCGCGTCTGGCGCGCAAGCTCGGCTGCTAGGACTTTGTTCTGTCTCCGCTCCTCCTGCAGTTCCGACTCGATCTTTGCCCGTATTAGTTCGGCATCCGCCTGACTTTTCGTCGCCGCATCCTCCTTCTGCTGCTGCAAGGCTTGGTATAGCTTCTGGGTGACCGCCAGGTGTTGTCGGAGGGCGGTGTTCCTTTCCACATATACTTGGCAACTAGAGGCCCACTTTGCCACCTTGATCCTCGTCCTTCGCCTGATAGTCTCCACATAAGATTGCGGTTTTAAGGCACTTCCGTATTTGGATGTCTTGCGATCCAGATATCGCAGGAGTGGAACTATCTGTTCGCACAGCACCCCTGTTGGCGTTTTCTGCACCGAATCCGCTTCCTGCTCTTCCGAGCTCGTCTCATCCTCAGTCTCGAGGATTTCAGTCGCCACCGAATCCCTTGGCGACTCCCTGGAACTGTGGCGCGCAGCAGCTTCCGCTGCGACTGCTGCTCCACTGCCTGCTAAAATATCCAGGGCAGTGGGAGATCCCACTGCTTGAGCCCCTGTTCCGGCTCGATCTTCGGTTTGTGAAGGGGTCGACGCCGCAGTGACTTTTGTCACTCTTGCACCGCCCGCTTCTGCTGCCTGTCCTTCCGGCGCAATCTGCGTGGAAGGTGTCCTTGCTGAAGGTGCGTCCGCCGAAGGCGTCCGCAC